GTTGGCGTTGCGGCTGGGCGCAGCGCGGCTTCCGCAACGGGCACGTGCTGCCACGGCATCGGACTTAACAAGTGCTAACCACAGTGTTTGCCCCACGTAGAGGTTGAAAGTGGAAGATGCTCTCTATATAATATTTAAAAGCTCACTGAAGTGCGAGAGTTGCTCTTAGGGTGAATGATAAACATAGTTGGTTCCTCAGGCCTTGTATTCGATGCTACTAGATCTTTCTGTTGAACCTCCTGCAAGGGTGATTGCTTTGTATGTATAACAAGTGCTAACCACAGTGTTTGCCCCACGTAGAGGTTGAAAGTGGAAGATGCTCTCTATATAATATTTAAAAGCTCACTGAAGTGCGAGAGTTGCTCTTAGGGTGAATGATAAACATAGTTGGTTCCTCAGGCCTTGTATTCGATGCTACTAGATCTTTCTGTTGAACCTCCTGCAAGGGTGATTGCTTTGTATGTAAAGGAGCATGTGTGAGATCAAGTACTCTTAAACCAAATTATGGCAGGATTTGCTCATAAGCATGCGAATTTCAGACTTCTAGCTATTCTTATGGTTGAGCGTAAAAAGTAATCATGTTGTTCTTATGACAGCAAGAGTGAAAAGTCATTTTAATTTAATTATATTGCATTCCCATCAGCTAGATCTCAATGTTCATTGTAATCACTGCGCATCCAACCTGGTGCGCTTCGGTTTGCCCTGGGCTAGCTGTGCCCCTTGCTTAGCGCCGCCTCAAATTCCGTGTACGTGCAAAGGCCGTTGGTAGAAACACCAGCCTGGGGCGTCTTTATTCTTGGTTTTCGTTTTGTTGTAAAGATTTCTATTACGTAATAGAAATGCCTGCTACCCAGTAGCCATTTTAAGGTTGCTGTTTTCTGTTACAGCTTTCTACGATTACCTTTCTCGTCTATCTCTATCCTAATTACTTGACTGATTTGGGTTCTTTTTTGAAGATGATGAAAACTCAGATACTGCATAAACTGTAGGTATGCTGCACGCTAATGCAGGGAGTTATAAATCATCTATAGCTGGGTTGTATGAACATTTGAAAGATTGTGTTTCATTGTTTGTGTTTAAACGTTTGCGAGATTCATATTATAAATTCTCAAAACTATTAACTTAATGAAATAGCCTCAGGTACATAAGGAAGTTTTCACTTTCTCGATCAATACACCAAGAGCAGTATTCCCAGCTTGATCGGGAAGGTAAGTGTTTGTTTCCTGAAGCTGCTGCGGCTGACCTCTCAAAGACCACAGTGGTTCCAAAGTAAGTGGACTTATAGGGGCTTCTTATTTAAGTTCCCAACAAGCATGCTTCCTCCACCTCGTTTGGTGACTAAGCCAGATGGTTATTATAGGAAATGACGTAGCAAAATGGAAGGCAAAAATAAGGTGCGTTAATATTAAATCTAATAATGCTCTTTTCTACTAATCTTCAATTTTTGGAAATAATCTTTTCCATACAAGACCTCCACAGAGGCAGAAGTGGGATTAACCCATCAAAGGTTAAAGGATTTTGCAGTCCTAAAATGGTGAGGACTTCCATTTTAAAATGTAGTGTTAGCATTTATACATTGCTGTTAGTTCCTATTTACATATTAACAGTCTTGCATCCCACATGAATCTGTGCTTCAGGTTTAAATTCTTAGTTACCTTTCTGTGTCTAGTGCCACTCAGCAGCTTTATGAGAAATACTATGGCTACCATTTCAGGGATTTCTTCTATTTTAGAGTCTTCAATAATTTGTCCAGCAGGACAACTGCATTGGTAAAATAATTGAGTGTTTTCTGAGGCAAGTAAATCTAACTTTTTCTCTTAATTAAAGGTGCTCGAGTACAGCAAACTCACTACAGGAAGAGGTTCTTAGGCAGAGAGAATCAACTGAAGCTCCAAGGGAATGATTCAAAGCGCTTACTGTAAGTACATAAATTAGATATTGTGAACATCCCCATGTTCCCTGGTCTTTCTGTGAGAGTTTCTTGATCACACCACTTTCCGTTAATCTTTTTTTTAGCAATAAAGTCCCAATCCAAGGAACATATTTAACACTAGACAGCGGTGCTTCTGCATTTGCATTAAGAAAGTAAACTCTAGTCTCGGCATTAAATACTGAGGTATTATCTTTCCAAAAGGTGGTCGGCAGAAGCAGTTCCTCCAGTAAATCATTCACAGCTTTCCAAATTGTCAAGCTTACAACTGTATTAATCACTGTAGCTTGGCTACATGTCACGATAGAGTACGTTCTTCTAACGCTTATGATGCATTGGGTAAATATGGTAATAATGAAAGCAATTAAACTCCGAATCAAATCTTGAGATTTCTTAAATTCAGATTAATTAATTGCAGTATAAGCATGGGAGATCCAGTGTTTTGGCAGACTTGCGAAAACGTAAGGTTGGATTTTAAAAGGCATGTATACAAGAACACGCTTTAGTGTCATTCCCAACTTAGGTGCACCTCAGAAGAAAGTGACAGTTCTAAATAACAACTTACTCTGCGTTAACTTTCTGTCATTTTGGTGAACTGAATCACTTCCCTGTGTGATCGGACAAGCCAGCTCAGTGTGAGCAGCAGGGACACGTAGACGGAAATGGGCAAGGAGTGTAGGACCTCTTCCCTTTGCAGTCAGTGACTGGTTAATTTGGCTCAGCCATCTTGTGACCCACACCCTACACTATGATCTACCTAGGCTTATTGCTTCAGGAGCTTCACAGTTCTAATAATGCTCCCGACATTCACACCTAGATACAAAAGGAAGTGCTTATGGATACACAAAATAACCAATCGAACTAAGGGTTGTTTATTGTATCACATAAATATTAACAGGTCTGTGGATGCAAAAAATGATCTTTCAGGCCAATATTTCAGCTAATGCTTTCCCTATCAGTGCTGGAGTCTGACTTCTCCACCTGTTAGTTCTTTTCTCAGCTTTTGAGCATGCTTCCAAGCTTGTCTCATCATACAGAATGAAATGCGTCCTGTAGCCATTCTCCTCCACCCAGCTAGAAGACTTGAGAGCAGCATAGAGGAATTCAGAAAAAGATATTTTGCATCATTTAATTATGAACCCTTTAGCTGGCTGAGTAATGCTGGTGCAGTATAGAAAAATGTATCTCGTCTGCCTCAAGCAGCATAAAATGGGAACGTGTTTGAACTCAGAGGGAAAAAGGACACATGGAGAGATTAGAACAGGAAACTAACTTTGACCCAACCGTGACAAAATTTACTGACAAAATGTTAATACTTCGTGTTCTGGAAAGCCTGACATTACTTAGCACCATCTTTCGTTTGCTACAAAAGTACAACAAATGCATGCTATACATTTTGGCTCCACTTTCCTTTTCAAAGCATGCTGAATATTTTGGCTCGACTTTCCTTTTCAAAGATGAACTGCAAAGTCTAAATGAAAACTGTGCTCAGACTGGAAACTTGCCAAAGGCCCACATCAAACAAAATGTGAAGGAGAACGTTATCAGAAAATAAGGTTACATTGCACCTTTTTTGAAGGAAAAAACACAAACAAAAACAGATAGGCATATTGAAAGCCTTACTCCTTTCCAAGGTAATCAGGCTCCAGTTATTTGAGTCACAGTTGTTCCGTCCAGAAGTTGTATACTGGTGCAACAGGGGCATATCATCAAGTGCCCCTTCACTGATAGAAACAAATCACAGTTGTCTGTTGCACCTGTCTGCACCCTTGAATTTCCACTAGTTTTCTTGATTATATTCCCCTTGCATGCTCGTGGTGGTGAGAGTGAGTCACGCCGCTATGTCTAAACTCCACCTCCAACCCCTCAAAAAGTTGAAATAATAAATTTCTGAGAATTGCTTCTGTGAAGGCTCTCTTGTTTAAGGTTAAGGGCTAGAATTGTAGCTAAAGAATAGGGTCTGATCCTGTTCCCACTGAAATCTATAGAAGTTAGGCCTACAAAAGGAAACTCCTCTCAGTGCATCTTAGCATTGCTTCTTCAGCTGTCTGGTTCTTTTGGCTATTTGTTCCAAGTCTAGATCTCCAGAGCTGGAAGGAATTCTCATATCTGGTGACGCGTGCTCGGGCAAGTGTGGGGTCTGATCCTACCAAATGGTAAGAGCTTCTAACAGGCATGCCCCATTAGCTCCATTTTTGGGTTTTGACTAATTTCACGAACCTAAACTCTTTTTTTTTGTTTTGTTGTTAATATCTTCACTGCCACTTTAAACTATGAGGGGAGTCTGTTGGTATGTATATGTTGTGAGTGAGGAGGGAACATGACTTAGTTATGAACAAAATACACCAGCTGACTTAGTGCTAGGCAACCCCACTGCAGTCAGTCAGGAAACTGCTGGTTACTAGCTAAAAGCGTTACAAGTCCCTTTCTGCTCATTAGATAGGGAACACACTGAGACAAATGGAGTAAGTATTGTTCGCTCAGAATCTCCATTCCCTAGCATGATATCGAGCTACAATACTGAGAATATTAATAGATGTCATACACAAAATTCCATCTCATCCAGGTAGGACAAAGAAAGAGAATGTTAAGGTAGGGAGGACAGCCCTGTTTTCTGGAGCACCAAACTAAGGATGTAAGGTTCAAAGACATCCATTCAATTATCTTGACCTGCAACCAGCAAGGCTTCTAGTCATAACATTCCTATGCTAGTTTTGTCGACGAGAAGCTTCCCCATCTTTGAAAGAATGGAAATACAAAAACAGTCTTGCTGATAGTACGTCTCCTAGAATGGCAGAATCAGATTTCAGGAGGAATATCACATACTCTCGCTTTTTCTTCCAAAGCCTTAGAATTTCTACATTCTAACAATTTAGATTTAACATCACAAACTACACTCTAAACAGTCATTAAATATAAGAGCCCTGCAGAAGACTGTAGTTTCCTTATAATATGGCAGTAATATTTTTTCAACTACAAAATTATCTCCTTTAAAAAAAAAAAAAGTCTGGCTTTGGAGAGTTTGTCTCAGAAGAAAAAAGTCATGAGGATGCATCAGCATCTTTAAAGCTCAGTTTAAAACTCAGGTCAACATACTACTTGTGTTTTGTTGTGGCAAACAGGACACAGAACACAAATTACTCAAAATTACTCAACTTCCATGCAGTAAAAATTCCTAAACTGAATTTATTTCCTATCAAGCTGAAACTATTCACTGTATATGCAAAGGGGTAAGAAAATAAAAAATTCAGAGTGTGGTTCAGCTAGGAAAAACGTGACTTTTTTTGAGGATTAAGACACTGGATAAAGCAACAGTATGTCTGCAATTTCTACAGCTCACGTGTCAAAACAAACCTATAAAAGAAGCTTTCTGGACAAACACTGCTTGCTTAATTTGCACAAGTGAGGTGAACTCTGTGCATGAGTAAACTAACAAACTGTGACCCCAGTCTATCGGAAACGTAGGAATGGTGGCGTGCCCACTGATGTTAAAGATGGTATGCATGACCAAGTCTTATGTAACTTGCTTGGGTTTGTTAAATTGTACCTTTAAAAAATATGCTTTCCACTGATTTTGTAATTGCTTTTGCATAGGAAAACAATATTTATAAAGCTGGTGAAAAGATTGTCTGCTATCTAGTTAGGTCTCTCCCAGATATCTTCCAGGTAAAGCTTAAAAAACAAATATTCAATATCTGACAAAGCTAAACACAACGAGCATCTTACAGCCTGAAATGTATTTCAGTCAAATCATTTTTTCAGATAGCTTTCACCCACTGTATAGGCACAGAGTTCATAAAACAAGTAAATGATGATTTATGCACGGTGACTCCCTTGGCAGTAATTGTTACGCCAGGGAAAAGGTTAGGATTGCAGACACCGATACAATAACATAAGGATTTTTGTTGTGTGACCCAGACAATCAGTGTGAAGCATAGAGAGTGAATGGTGAAAACAGAAAATACGATGTTCCTTTTTCCCTTATGTCTAAGGGAATTTCTAAACTGTATTGTTGTCACTGAGAAGTGGGTTCCTGCTCTGAATTACAGAACAAAATAATGTGGGATGACCTAGAAACTGTACAGTTTCTGTGGCTACAGAGGTAAAACCATGCTGCAAACATGTGGCACTATAAATTATGATCTTACATATGTAATTTGGCTCATTATTCACTTTTAGAATCAGGGAATTAAAGAAATGTCAATGCGTTACTGTTGTAAATCAGATTAAACAAAAAACTCTGTAGCACGATTTCAGTGCTCCAGGAACTGTAGGAATCAACAGGATGTACAGTGAACTTGTAAAGATTGAGTAATATAGCAGCTTTCCCAGCCCCATCTCAGTAAGTTCACAATTCGTTTATTGTTTTACTTCATGAATATTACAGCTCAAGCTTGCTCAAGTTCCACAAGGACTCCGTGGCAGTCTTTAGGGTGAAGAAAAATCACAGGTTTGCCATGTGCACCTATTTTTGGCTCTTCACTCAATATTCGGATCTTTTTTCCCTTCAGTTCTGTCACAGCTGCTTTTATGTCATCAACCTTATAAAAGAAAAATACAGTTTATACAATTTGAAACACTAAAATGTATTATGCAAATTCTATATTTAGGAGCAATAATGTAATGCCTTACTAAAATGTTATTTCTAAATTCTAATATAATTCTAAAAATAAATCTAAAAATGAGAGAAATCTAGTCACAAAAATAAAAATCCTACAGAAATCTGAATTTGTGATATGACTGTTTTATAAAAATACAGCTAAGTAGATTGTGTAATGTTTAACATAATTTATTAAATGAAATTCACTCATGCACAAAATCTTTTTTTTTTTGGTTACTTTATATGGCCTCCATCAATAATCTTAACTCTTTGCATTGCTATTATTAAGACAATCGTATTGCTTCCAAAACATCATTAACCAAAGAATGCCTTCCTGTCTAACTAATGACAGAACACTGACTCATTAGATGCTGGTGGAAAGAGAGAGCAATGGGCAGAAGGTGAAAGGAAGTATCTTTTAGACTTATTTATCCTCCTCCTTAGTAGGTTAAGCTTCATAAAGTTTCCCAAAAAAACACCTTAGAACTACCAGAAAAATCCCCAGAATATGACCTAGTTTTCCTATTGGACTTAATTATAACAATAGCATTTAACACACAATTTCAGAGCAGTTTCCTGTAGAAAAACTAATTAACAGAAACCTGTCTATGTTATAGGACATGATCTTAAGTCTGATGTCATGTCATCAGAAGTTTGCATCAACAGAAGCTTGGATTTTCCCAAATCTGAAATGCATGCGTCCATTGAAACCATAAACTTAGCATTCAGTTTAGCAGAGCCAATACTCAGTAAAGACCTAGAATTAAAATAATAGTGTTGCTGTTTTTCAAGATTGAGGTGTCTGGACGTAACTCAGTGAATAAATCTGCATGATGCCATTCTAGGGAAGAGGGAAATACCTAGCCTTAATTTAGAGGAACAAACTTCAGTTAAGTCCTACTCGTTCTCAGCAGAGGTTTGTTCATGAAAATTCTGAACTCACTCCTGTTCTTCCTACACACAACCACCGGTCAGCTAAAAAAGAAAGTGACTGTCAAGTGTTATCTAAAAGAAGACAGCAAGTGTAATATGTGCTGTAGCCCCCTCCAGGTTATTCCTGAAGCAGAAAAGCCGCTACAGCTGCTGCTCCTGTCTTGCAGAGATGGCCAGAAGGGGAAATGTCTGGGCTCAGCTGGAATGAATTAGTGCATCCCTAAGGAAACCAAGAGAGGAAGCAGTGGAAAGTCTGTGGGTGCATCCATGTTAAAGAGATCATCAAGCTCGGATTTCTCTTATCCTACCAACTGTCCAGCATGCTTTCCATTGCAGGTAATAATAACAATTACAGCTAGTCAGAAATTGTTTAATTTCTTCTAAAAAAGCTTGTTTTAATGAATTTCCCCATCCACCAACACATATACATTTTTCTTTTGAATAGTACAACAGAAGGAAGAAAGGAAAAGCATTCTGACAAACTTGTCAGACTTCCTCCCCTGTATGGAAAGAATTTTTTAATCCAGCCTCTTGTAACAAAATTCTTCATAGAAGGATATTTCTACAAAATATTAAAATTTCAAATGAGCAATTTACACTGAAATTGTATGTAGTTTTTCTGGAAACTATTTTTGCCCAACTTCAGAAGAGGATATACCTTTGAAATTCTAGAATTTCCCTTAGAATGGAAAATACATTTTTTTTGTTTTATTTTTGATTGACTATGGTAGTGACCAGATCTAGTTTCAATCCCACTTGAACAGCAGGTCAACAATGGATTGCTTTTTTCCCATGTAAATAAGTCTGTAATCTCCCATTTGGTTTTATGTGGAGACCCACCATCATGGCAGGCTTGTGACAATCTTGTTCTTTTTGTTTTTATATATATATATGTGTGTGTGTGTGTGTGTGTACTTTTTTTTGCTTAGGTAATCTACTAGTGAGTTCCATGACTTCATAGAGGAAAATGTGGTTGCAAGTAGCAATAATTCATCCATTTAATCTAAATTAGCTGCTAGATTATGATTCCTGGCTCACATGATCTACAGTATACAGTAATATATATATATTTTTTAACATGGCACTTCTACATTGCCCAGCATGGTACAATTATCATGTCCCGTTCTTCTCAGTTTTCAGAATGAACAGCATGATTTCTTTTGATAGCCATCTTTGGTTTGTCTGCAACAAGCAAGATCACGTCTCACACCAAATAGAGATCTACAGAGAAAAATCTTGGCTGGTAACAAATATTTTGTGAAACATCTTAGACATGATTACCAACACTTGAATCTCTTCAAGGGAGCTATGAGATCTTTTTGCTGTAAAATGCCTACATCTTCCTCCTTTTGTACCTATAACTAAGCACTTTTCTTCCACATCTCTGTTTCCCAAATTCAGCTGAGGTCTTTCACGTTCCTATAACAGAAGTTCCTAAATTTAATGCCAATTTCAACTGGATTAATTGTCTTCTTCTTGAACATCTGCAAAGATACAGTACAGTTAAGATTCTGATCTGCTGAATTCCAGTGCAAAAGATGTATTAAACGGAATAGGTATTTCCTCCGCTTCACTGCCCACCACAAAAACCTGATTGAGGCTTTGCTCTGCTTGCAGTGGAATTACTCATGGTAATAAAGGCAAACCTATCCCCAGGCATTTGATGTAGGAACTTTGCAAAACAAATGTTTATTTAAAAAAAAAACCAAACAAAGTCAATTAAATAAGTGAAAGAGGATTAATGAATGGGTGCTCTTTATTTTTCATTATTTCCTCACAATCTTGTCATATCCTGACTTATCGCTTTTTTAAAAAGTCAGAATACGGTCTGACATTTCCACACACATGCAAATCATTTACCTCAAGAGTTGTATTGACTCTGTTATTTTCTATGCAAGTAATTACTTAACTGGACCACTTCTAAATATTAAAACATGGAAATGTATAGTTTAATATGTTAGCAAGGGTTTTATGTTTTAGTAAACAAACGTTTTATGTTTTAGTAAAACATGAAGAAGAATATATGTGCTTAGCATGTATAAAAATTCTCACTTTGGACACAGCATTGTCCCCTGGCAAGAACCTAGAATGAGAAGCTGACAGTACTGCATTATGTTCATGCTTGCACCATTACTTGCCGTTTAATCTTGAACAACTCGTTTAAATATCACTAGTATAGTTCACCATGTTATGAAATGGGAAGGCCCACTCCCATTACGATGGGTTGATTCACTGCGTGTAGAGTGTTTTGACTGTTTGTCTGAACAGTCTTCACTGTTCACCTGCAGCCCATCTGCCAGATACGTATTGAGATCATTGCAGGAATCTGTTTCCCTCTCTTGTAAAGAGCGTTAGATATTTTCTTCCATATGATAAGCCCCAATTCATATGTTAGAGGACCCAAATCACGTAGAGGTTTATTGTCTTTCATCAGTGCTCCAGTTCAAGACAAATTTCTATAGCAACAGAAACACTTGATTTTAAGCACTCTTATGTTAATGTTTCCTAGTGACAATAATAATCCACTACCGTCAGGTTTTCATTTTCACAATGTATAATGACTGATAGTCTTATATATGAAATTGAGCAGTAAATTTTATCCTTATTTCTTTATTTTTTTTAAAATCCAATGTACTTTAATGGACTTAACCTAGATGAGCTCAATAAAGTGCTCTAGTAGTATAACGTTAGGAATTAATAAAATTAGTTATCGGTATCGAGTCAAATGTAATATTATATATTTTTCCAGAAAGAAAGTTAAGGCCTAAGTAACCTTACAGGAACAACTAGACTCCCAAGTAGCTGCTGAACTTCTTATCATGTCTGTTCTCTGTATGAATAATCTGAAATAGGGAGTTTAAGATGTTAATTCTCCTACATTCTTCTCAGACATTTTGAAAGATGGTTTATTAAGTTTTCACCTTGAAAATACGTGCAAACTTAAATTAAAAAACATTGCAATGCCTATGCATATGCAAATTTTCTCAATTTTCAGTGAAAGTATGCAGCTGCAAACACAGGTCTTTAAAGATGTGCTCTGAAAACAATTTTACTCACATCAGTAATCCCATCATTTTTATTATAACTCTTTGCATGAAATAAGAAAGTTTGCAAGACTGAGGTCTGAAAAACATTAAAATTGATATATAATAGATATTATGACAACATGACATGTTACATCTAACATCTACACTAAAACATTAATATGCTAAATAAGATCACTGCTTTTCCCTGGCACCTTTACATCTTGTGTACTTCCAGACTAATCTCTCTTTACTGGACAAGGAAGACCAGGACAGAAGAAGCTCCAGAGACTTTACTCGTCTTTGGAAATCTTTCTGGAATCGTTTTTGACTTCTGCATACAATTATCAACTAAATATCAAACAGGAAGAAATTTCTGAACATCTAAACTATGCCTTAGCTTAAACTTACAACTGCAAGTGATGTGCAGTTTTTTCCAGTGTATGTCCTGTCAAATGCTCTTCACGAGGCCCTTGGGCTTGTCTGTCTTCCACACTGGATGCTTAAAAAAAAACCCCATAATTTAAACTTTATGGAGTAAAAGAGGAAAAATTCATCACATAGTTTATGAAATTGAACTGAGATTTCCGAAACAGAAAAAAGCCACTTTTAAGCCTTCTTCCTATTCAGTAGAAATTCTCCCAAATATGCCAGCCTTATATACGTATCCTTTACACAGGTGAAATCTATGAAAATATTACGAATACTTTAATGTCTGTATCTTCTTACATGATATAATGTATTAAAATACCTCAATGCAGATATGATGCATTCCTCCTGTCTTGTTTTTTTGCAGAAAGCTTGCTATGGGACTTTTCTCTCCTAGAGGGTGCAGAAGTTCCAGCTTTGTATTTCCCAGCTCCACAAAAACAGTGTAGACACCATGTTCAGGAAGAGCAACAGCCTCGCTCACCCGTGCGCCTAACACATCCTTATACAAAGACTGAGCCTTCTCCAAATCAGGTACTGCAATTGCTACATGATTAAGTCGTCCCAGTTTCCACAAAGAGCTTGGAATGCTTTGATAATGAGAATTTGATGTCGATAAAGTTCGCATTATGGGAGCTGAAGTCTGCAATCTGGTAAGAAGCCCTGAAAAAAGTGAACAGCACCAATATAAAGCTTTTGAGAAAGTGCAAGTGTTTGCTCTTCCCCCTTCTAATGAGGCTGATATTCACTCCTCTGTCATTAACACCCCAGTGCACAGAGTTGAAGGTAGATGAGACCAAAGGAATTACTCTGTAGTACTAACAGCTCAATAGATTTTTTTTTGAAACTATCTAATTATTCATAAATGTAAAAAAAAAAAAAAATCACATTTGGTTTGAATGCTCATGTGTGCCTGTTAAAAATGGAAATACATGAAGACAGTAAGTTTTGGTGAGTATGGCACTGAAATGAGTCCCATAATTAGATGCATTAATTACCAAATGTAAGGATCATTGGTATACTGTACCTAAAAGTTACTTCTGAATTGCTCAGACCTTCATCTAAAATAGAAACAAATGAGGCTATGCCTATATATCTAGAAATTAAAACAGTCAAGAAAGTCCAAACAAAGCCTTGGACAGAACTAACTGATGTTTCAAGTTTCAGAAGAAAGTGAAAGAACTTGAGCTCTCAGCTGTTAGAAGTCCATGTACGCCAGCAAGGAAAGAAATATCATGTTGTGTTTTAAGCCTAAGGAATGCTAAGATCTCCTGAGTTTAATTTCATTTCTTACTCTCTCTTTCTGCCAGACCCGATTTAAGTCATTTGCCCCTCTTAGTTTTCACGTGCCGTACAGGTGTAACACTTAGTTTCACTGAGCTGTTTCAAGATGCTTTGAAATATTTCAGTTCTAAGTACTGTTAACAACAGCATGTCCAACTGACCAATAGCCACTTAGAAGATTATCTTTTAAAAGGTCAATATCATGTTTGCTTTTTTTAATACAACTAGTGCCACTGACTTCAGTGTGATTTACAAAGGAAGCAGAATATGATTTGGTTTATCATAAATGAATAAGGTAATTAAAAAAGCACCTGAAAATATGGATGCCCATATGACACAAAGGTAGGGGGCTAACATGCAGATGTAGACAAATATAGATAGAGAAGTCACGGAGAAATTCAATGCCATGAAAAACTGCCTAGATGTTTACAGAACTCTTCCCAGACTGCTCTGAGAAGGCAGTACTGAACTTTATCCTGTCTGCATCAAATTTTGTGTTCTGCAGAGGTAGTTCAAGGTTGTTTTTAAAAAAAATCAGAAAGATACGAAATAGGGATTATTACAGCCCCATCCATAAAATGAATAGATTATAAGAAAATTAATGTGTCAGAGTACTAGAATTTGGAGAGATGGTTTGGGAGGAAGAAGAGCTGTGGTCTTATCAGTTGTTTCTAGCACCAGAATTAGATGAAAGGATATATTCATAAAGACAGCGTTTGAAATTCATGCCAGTTTGCTTTAGGCCATGTCAGAGTTCCCAATGCCTCAAGGCCAAGCTAGAGGCATCTCAGCATTTTGGAAGTCTTTGATGGATTCTTAGCTTTAAATTCACAAATGTTCCATTTTGCTAAGAGATTGCGCCAAGGATGTGCTGATATTCTGGATGCCTTTCAATGCACTGAGGATAGCATGGGTTACGTCTTGTCAGGCTCTTTGTACTTTGTAAGGGCAGTAGGAGCTGTAGTTTAAAACTTCAGCTAGCTTCACTGTGGGAAACTGAGAGCTAAATTCCAGTGAGAAGAGAGAACTCAATAAATTCCAGTGAGAAGAGATTTCACTGGAATTTAAGACTCTACAGCTGTCTGTCCCTCTTTCTTCACAAAGATGACTAATGCAGTCCTTAAATCTAAGCATTTCTGAGCGTTGTCTTATAGGCATAGTGGTGAGCAAGAATCGGCAAATTTAGAGCGCTGCGATGGAGTAACTGTGTACGTATGTGTGTGGAGGGGTGTTAATATTTGAGCCTAACGAACCTATGCGATACTTTATAATGTCGAAAACAAGCAACTTGCAACATCTAGTTGGCAGAATTACAGAGGCATAGATAATTAACTAGACTAGAGTTTGACCAGATTGCCGGAGTAAATAACATGAAAAACAAAAAAAGAAAAAAATGCCATACAATCTTTTCTGTCTACCTAAGATTAGCAGTAGTTTCATATGGTAACTTGTTAAGCCCTGATCCAGTTCTTGCTGAAGCAAGAGAAACTCTTCCACGTAGAGAAGAGGAGGTCAATATTGTCCAAAAGAGAGAAGTCCTCCGAAAGATACGGACCCCTCATTATGCCATTTGCGATGTGTCCTAGAGTGCGCCCGGCCGCTGCGCT